GGGGGGGGGGGGGGGGGGGGGGGTGGGCTACTCCCTTATATAAGCCGTATAGGTATGTGCTGCCCCATCGGGTAGGGTTTTTGCGCTGTTTTGGTCTGGAATCGGGTATTGTTCTCGAGGGAACTACAGAGTGTATGAACATATTTATCGTTTCAATTCCAGATGAGTAAGGAAAGAAAGAGAAATATGCAAATTTGAAATGGAATTGAATAATTTGTTTGTTCGCGCCCTAGTTGATTTGCCCAGTGGAACCCCTGGATGACTGTGGGACTCTGGGGCGGTTTTTAAGTTAGATATTTTGTGGGCCGGGTATTCTGCAATCTAGCCGAAATTCCCTTAAAAACATTGGATGGTCTGAATTGGGAAAATAAAACCTTTAAGGTAAAAAGGTCTACTTTCAAGTTCCAAAAGTACATGTATGTAAATAGACCATTTTACATAGGTGTGTGCTTGTCACCAGGTTTTTTGATACTAGCCCCTGTTTGTAATCATGCAGAACAAATTCATTTTACCATAGCAGTGTTAAACGCAGCAACAGTTTTCTTGATTTCTTGATACGGGTTTCAGCACCCAGCGAATAGCCTGACTTCTGGTTGTATGAGAGTTGTGGACTCATTTGCCTAGAAGCCCTTCAAGCTGATCCAGTTAGGCCAGACACATGCTGGTAGAGATAGATTACTACACCAGGGACCAAGTCCCCTACTCTTTATTTATAGTGTGAGGGTTCCTTAACGTCTCACATATTTTCAATAGCGAAGATTGTTAGATAGCACCTACGATGTATTGTCCTTATCTGAGAAGACTAAAAATTATAACCATTTACAGATACAATTTCAAAGGCAGCACTTTCTCCACAGTCAATAAATATCAAAGACCTTGAGTGTTCAAACCTGCTGCCTCCCTATTGGCAGACTGGCAAGCTAACCAGGAGGCAGTTTTATCAGAACAATGTCCACTTGAGGCTAGATTACAGCCACAACTATAACATAAACAGGGTGCTCATTAGACATCGGAGATCGGAGAATTCCCCGTTAACTATGCAGAATTCTCCGGCAAATGTTCGGTAGCCTATGAGTATTTGTTATTCAGACGTGAAGCCCCTTTCAAAATATTCTCCTGTAACGTTACACCTTCCTCCTGCTACTTGAATTCTTAGTGAAAACCCTGCATAAATGTTTAAAATGTAAGGAGGCATGGTAGGTACATGTATAAAAAGAAGGGAAGAGGAAATGGAGAAGGCAGCTCCAGTTGCTTTTCTTGCCATCCCTTCCACCCCTTCACGATTATTGTACCTTTCACACCTAAATAACAAATATCCAAACCTTGGGGGGGGGGGGGGGG